ATCCGAATTATCTTCGGTTGCATTTACAGGTTCTTGTCTTGATCACAGAATTCAGTAAGCCTAATCCCTGTCTTCCAAAGAGTTGTACTCAGACCACTGATGTGTTGAATTGAAACCGCTTTGCACAACTCCTTAATATGATCGTTTAAAAAAGATTTTTAAAAAAGCTCTATTCCCACTTGGGAGTGAAGGGTGGGGTTAAGAGGCAGTGGCCCCAGGTGTGGCTTAAAGGCCTGGTGGGCAGGACTTGTGGGATCGGTATGAGTGCCACCACTGCAAGGCAGAGTTGAGACCCGCGCGTGTTGAGTGTTTCATGTATATTTATCGTGTTTCAAATATAAACGGTGTTGCTGAATATTAACTGCCTTTAACGAAAAATCTTTCCAGACTTTCTATCTCCACATGTGTATACTTTACTGAATTTGTATCTTAGGTTTTTATGTATTTATGGGCCTGTATTGAACATGTATCCGTTTTATCCAGTCTTATTCTTTGTTTTCTTGTAAGGTAGAATTGCATATTCTCCATACCTGGGCTTCAAGGCTGGTAAAGTGCCACGATGGTAAAGGGGTGCTCGCAGCTCAGTCAAGCTGCTTATGGCCACTTGCATTACTTTCATCAAGGAAGAATTTGAGAGACCATGATCGTGTCAAAGCACAATTTTCACTTGCTCGAAACACTCTTAGGCAAATTTCTTAGAATACTTTTTTTTAAAAAATATGGAAAACCAAGCAAAACCTTTTCTGAACTAAGTTATTTTAATAAGAGATTTGTAGACATTTTCATGTCTTCTCACTGCAGACTTGTAACCAATTTTGGAAAGAAATTTCTATAATAATAATAAAACCCTTACCAAGCCAGGTGCTGGTGGCTCATGCTTATAATCCTAGCTACTCAGGAAGCTCAGATCTGAGGATCGAGGTTCAAACCCAGCCCAGGCAGGAAAGTGAGACTCTTATCTCCAATTAGCCACTAGAAAACCAGAGATGGCATTGTGGATCCAAGTGGTAGAGTGCTAGCGGTTAGCAAAAAGAGCTCAGAGACAACACCCAGGCCTGGAGTTCAAGCCCCACACACAAAAAAACCCTCTACCAATATTCAGATTAGCTTTAATGCTCCTATACCTACCAATCAACAATCCTTAAGATCTCCAGGAAAGGGGAAAAAAAGATTAACTCACACTGGAAGAGCTTATTTCAAACAGGCCTAAGACACCACATTTCTTAATCCTTCTGGTACCTGGGCTGACACCAAACAAATAAAAAAACAAATAAATAAATGGTGCACATGACCAGTGAATAGGATGCACCCTTTTTCTTTTAGCAGTTCCACTAGGAGATTGGGGAGAGGCACAACTCAGTAGTAGAGCACTTGCTTATCATGTTTAAGGCTCTGGGGTCTACCTCAATACCATCAAGTCATGGGAGTGAGGAAGATGGGATTCATTCCCATAACAATCTAAGACCTTTTTTTAAGTTCCAGAGAAAATTGGAGCAACAAACAAGACTATATAGATCTTCATGCAATTGTGACCTTGCTTCAGAAAAAGAGCTTACATTGGGAAGAGATTAAGTTTATTAGTCTCAGTTACTCTGCAGGTGAAGATAGAGAATTAATTGGGCCCAAGAGTAGGAGGCCAACCTGGGAAACAGAGGTTTTTTTTTTTTTTTAAAGAAAATAGTATGGGCTGGGAATGTGGCTTAGTGGTAGAGTTCTTGCCTAGCATGTATGAAGCCCCGGGTTTGATTCCTCAGTACCACATAAACAGAAAAAGCTGGAAGTAGCACTGTGGTTCAAGTGGTAGAGTGCAAGGCTTGAGCAAAAAGAAGCTCAGGGACAGTGCCTATGTCTTGAGTTTAAGCTCCAGGACTGGCACCAAAAAGAAGAAAAGAAAAAGAAAATACTGTCATTGTACTCTCTAGAATTCCTTCCTGATACAATTAGCATCAGGGAAGTAGTTAAAACTGACCTTTTCCTGTTCTTTATCTTTTTCCCCTAACATGGGTGGGGACTATTTTTTCTGCCAAGGACCATTTGGATATCTATAACATCATTCTCAGACCACACAAAATTATTAATACTGTTAGACAGTCGAGCAATGAACAAGAAGCATACAAACATCATATGTGTCTGTCCCATCATGTACAAAATGATTTTTCAGGCTTTCTGTATGTCCTGTGAGCCATTTTCTACCCCTGAACCTAAGAGCATTAAATTTTCCAGCTTCAAGTGATATCCTCTCTCTCTCTCTCTCTCTCTCTCTCTGTCTCCCTCTCTGTCTCCCTCTCCCTTTTCCCCTCCCTTCCCCCTCCTCCCTCCCCCCTCCCCCTCTCTCTCTCTCTCTCACAAAATCCTGCCCAGCCTTGGGAAACTGGATACACTTTGGAATAATTTAAACTGATCTTATGAAGTAACCACTTTCTCACATTCTGCCAAACTAAAGGCTCAATATTTCCTTTTATTATTTATCAAAATGACCACCCCTTTTCAAACCGAGCCCTTAAGTGTGACTAAATCCAGAAATACAGTAATTTAGGAACAAACTAGGTAATGTTTTATCTCTGCATGTTGAGCTAGGCTATCAAATAGATCCAAGAAATTCATCTGTCTTCTACATTCTAGATACATATAGCCAATGACTAATTCAAACTACCAACAGTTAAGGCAAACTTTCAATAATGTAGTTGCAAAATAAAAAATTCCTGCCTGGAATGTAATGATTTGGAACACTAAAATGAAAGACACTGACTTTTTTCGTCTTGAATTTGAAAATTACATGACTAAAATATCTGCATTTTAAGGAACACTTTTCTTCACAAAAGATTGCTCTATGTTGAGATTGTTTACCCAAACACATAAAATTCAAGGTCTGCTAATGATCACTTACACAAAACCTTCAAAAAAGGAAAATAAATAGTTCTACCCCTAACCGTCTTTGTAATTTATTATTTTCTAACTTGTTTCATCTGTCTTCCTGCATTCAGATACCAAAATTCCTAATTGGGAGTGGGAGGGGACACAAGAGGTTCTGCTAGAAATTTAAAAGGATTATAAAGTCACTTGTACTGCATTGGAATTGCATTTTCTCCAGTGTGCTAGCTACAGTGATTTACAGTGCCATCTTCTGGCCAAGAAGCTGTAAAGCTTCCAACTTCCATGAAAGGAATGAAGTATTCTTTAGCAGCACCTTGAAATCTAAGGCTGTCAGAACCCAGAGAAGTTGTCTCCAGTGTTACATGAGAGAGCAGAGGGGAAAGAAAGAGGTGGGTTTCCTTGAAATAAACATCTAAAACATTTAACCTCTGAGGTCTCTGGCAAAGTCTGTAGTCCTTCCATTGTGGCTACTTTACAAGTCAACAGTACTAAGAAAGCAATTCAAGCCACTATCTTATAGCTTCAGGTTTGACCTCCACTATCTTGACATTATTCTAAGTAAAACAGTCTAGTAGGTCTCTAAGTTACTCAGTAGGAATACTCAGGATGATGATAGTAGATTTTGTAAGTCCTCCTACTAAAATTCCTTGTTTAACCTACTCCATTGTGCAATGGACTCTATTCTGTATGGCAGAAAGGCTTTTTGGCTTTGTTTTGCAGCAACTCTTCTGAGTTGAAGTAGAACTCTACCTGTATCCTGTTTGACAACATATTCCTGGAAAAGATTGTACAAGCTGATAAACCACCTTGGCAAAACAAAACACATTGAGAAACTAGCCACCTGAGAAGCTTCCTGGAACAGCTAGCTGAACTAGAACTGCAAACGAAAACGACCTTCTCAATCTTCAATGCTTAGAAACGCCAGCCCAGCCCACTCTCAGGGCCAGCACTACCCATAGTGTGTTTTCCTCACTTCGAAAGTAAATAAACCATTGCTTCCCTGCTTGACACGCTGCCTCTTAGTGAATTCTTTCACTCCCCTTGCACTGGCCCTAGCCCCCAGACCTAATAGATTTAATTTCAGAAGAATCTGTCCTCAAGTATCTTCTGGAGTCTTTCAGTGAAGGATAAGGTACTTAGACTATTATACACTGCTGAGGCTTTCAATACACAGGTAATTTATATACATAGTAAATGTAAAACTATAGAAAACCCTATTATTTTTTTTAAAAAGTCAAAGCTTAATACTTCCTTGTTTTAATCATCTCAAATATATTGAAAAAGAATTCCTTTTAAGTAAAATTATTTTATGTGTGCCAGTACTAAGGATTGAATTCAGGGCCTGGGCGCTGTCCCTTAGTTTTCTGCTCAACGCTGGCTCTACCACTTGAGCCACACCTCCACTTCCAGCTTTTGGGTGCTCAAGTGGAGACAGAAGTCTCACAGAGTTTCCTGGCCCAGCTGGCTTGGAACCATGATCTTCAACTCTCAGCCACCTGAGTACCTGGGATTACAGGTGGGAGCCACCGGCTCTGACACAAAGTTCCTTTTTTAACCGTGGGGAGGGACATCCTTTGATGAGCAGTGAGCACTCCCAAAACCAAGACAAGTCTTTTTCTATGTCGTTTAGGGGAGGAAACAAGCTTTATTCAGAATCGGTTTCCAGGAGTGAAATCTCCCCCTCATTTCTGCCTTCCCCGCCCCCGGCTTCACACTCCTCAGCTTCCTTTTTAGTCTTCTGGGACATTCTTTCCCTTGCCAGTTTACTACTCACAGTTGCAAGGCCAGGTTCAGTTTCCCATGAACCCTACCCTCCGGTCCTCCCGCAACCCGTCACAGGCCACGCCCCTTCCCGACCCCGCCCCTTCCCAAGGGCACGCCCCCGCCCCTGCAACACTCTACCTAGTCCGCGGCTACGCCCCGCCCCAGAGCTATGTCCCGCCCCCAGCAACGCCCTGCCACGCGTCGCCAGTGGATACGCTCCGCCCCCAGATCTATACCCTGCCCCCCCTAGTATCGCCCCGCCCTCAGATACGCCCCGCCCCTCCGGCTACGCGCCGGCTCCCGCGCGCTGACGTCACATGCTAGCGCCGCCGACGCGTCGGCCGCTCCCCCTTCTTCTGCACTAGTTCTCGGGCTTGGGGGCGCTCGGGTGTGGAGTCTCTGCCTTGCGGTCCTGTGCGGTTGTCCTCACGCCTCGGCATCTAGAGCCGCTTGCGAGGCTTTGGGGCGTGCAGTCAGGTATCTTCCCTGTCCCAGATGCTGCCGGTGCCCCGCCTTGCTGAGGCCACTAGCAACGACCTCGGCGTGGCGGGGAGCGGTGGTAACGGGGCGCCCCCCCCCGGCCGCCCTCCCTCCGTGTCTAGGGGCGTCGGAGCCAGCTCGTTCGCTGCGTCCGGGTCCTGTGAGCGTAGTTCTTGGGCATTGCATCAGGTGGAACGGGGTCAAGCCTGAGGCTTCAGGTGTGCGGGAGCCCCAGCGCCCCGCCGACGCTGCAGTTAGGTTAGACTGCCTTGGTTTCTCTTTCAGGATGGCATGTTTCTAAATGCACGGAGAAGCCTCTGCCTTAAGTCCCGTTGGAAGACTGACAGCTCTGGACCGGTGGTCGTTGAGCATCACCGTTATTCCTCCTAAAGTCCTGTGTCATTGAGGTGAGTTGCACTGGGCGGGGAAAGCGGTGACCCGCAGAATACCGACCCTTGGGCTCGTGTAGACATTGCATGCGTTCTCACTTTCAGTGTTCACAGGTAAAAACACCTTCCTCTCATCAAAATACTACTTTTCTAGGAAACTGCGTTTCAAAGAAACCTTTATTCATTATTTTAAAAACTAGAACGGCAATGCAATTAAAGGATGTCATTTCAGTTACTTGTATTACTACCTTTGATGTTATATGACCTGCATATATTTAATTGGGTAGACAAAGTGGACGGCAATTAACTAGAAATCCTACAATCTTACATGTCTCTTTCAATGATTTGATGCAGTTTTCATATGTTAGAAGTTGTACTATAAAAGTTGTGCTTCTGGAAATTGAACCCAGGTAGGCAAATTCTCTATACACTCAACCCCTTTAACTTTTAAATATGTGCCTGTTTTTATTCTCTCATGCAGAATCCACTCCAAGAGGTAGAAATATTTTCAATTGTCTTGGTAAATTACATCAGAAAAGTTTATGAAGGTTTAAAACTTCTAGCCAACTTATGATAATAATGGCTTCTTATTATAATGTGGGAGTATTGTAGGGATGGTGGAGGGAAGCCAAATATGAAAGAAAAGTTCTTTCTAGGCTAGATTTGTCTGATGGTAGAGGATCTACAGCTCTAGTTAATATAAAGCCACCTTTGTCCTAGATGAAAAGTAAGGAGCCTATTTTGTGAAGAAACTGGTTTCTGCACAGTAAGAGTCTGTTAGAAACTTGGTAAAGGTTAGAAAACTTGAGCAGTGGAGTTCTTTCGAGCCAGTGTTAATAATACATTAGTGTTGTGTTCCAAATAATTTTTACTGTCTTATCTCCTCCCTTCTAGTCTACATCATGAACATGATACCTTTTCACAAATAGAAAGTCTATATCTGAATAGAAAATCACGTATTACAGAAAAGCACATATTTTGAAAAAGTCTGTTAGGGGTCTGCTTTCATTTTCTACTTTTTCTAAGCAATGAGAAATAAGAGGTTTTCTTTGAGAAGGTAGATTAAACCACTTTCTATAGTTTGATTTTCTTTGAGAAGGTAGATTAAACCACTTTCTATAGTTTGATTTGGTACTGTTTTGGGAGAACTGTGTAGATTGTAGAGGCAGATTGTAGCAAAAGACTGCTTAAAATCTGTTGCCATCTTTTTACTATTTCTCTTCAGATCATTCTGTCAAATCTGAAAAAAAGGCTTAATGCCTGTCTTCCAGATTGATGAGGATGCAAGTTTTCTTTCATATAATGTCATTTTTCATATTTGGTCCTGGTCTTTTGTTTTGTCTAACATTGCTTGTGACTTCAAAGAAATTCTTAGAAAAAACCATCTGAAAAATCTAATTTCACTAGAGGCTGAGATACTATTTTTGCAGCATAGTTATCATTTTTGAAAAGTTGCTTGGTGCCATAGAAAAACTTTAAATGTCACAGTGAGGAATTTAGAAATGGGAAATTGTTAAAGGATTTTTTTTCTGTAATCTTAACTATTCAGAAGGCTTAGATCTGATGTTTCTAATCTAGGTTACTTTGTTTTCTGTTAAGAAATTTAAGACACATTATATTTAAATCTTTTTGTTGCTGTTGTTGTTGCTGGTGGTCATGGGGCTTGAACTCTAGACCGAGGCACTGTTTCTCAGCTCTTCAGCTTAAGGCTAGTTCTACCACTAGAGCCACATCACCATTTCTGGTTTTCTGGTGGTTTATTGGAGATAGGAGTCTCTCCGACTTTCCTGCCCGGGCTGCTTTGAGCCATGATATTGAAATCTCAGCATGAGCTACCAGCAGCTGGCTATATTTTAAATCTTTACTCTTTTTAGATGTAGAAATTAAGCCCCAGAAAAGTCAGATTAACATAGTGAATTCACATATATCCATGTTAAGGGGGATCTTGTGAATGGGTTGGTCTATTACTTTTGTAATAAAGTAGTAATCTTCCTCCTCCTCTTGTGTCTCTATCTCTCTGTCTCTTTCTCTTTTACACACACCAACATGCATACACATTTTCTAAGCTTTCACTACCTAATGTATTCTAACTTCTCCTTAAGTAGCCACTGTCTTGGATCACCTTAATCATTTATGTTGGTATAAGAGTTTAAGTATGGTGGAGTGTTGTATAACAGTGAAAGTGTAGCTGGGTTTAATCACAGCTGCTGAGAATGCAGGTATAATAGGATCCCAATTTGAGAGGAGCCTGGGCAAAATGTTAACAAGACCACATCTTATTAAATAAGCCAAGCTTAGTATTGTCTATAATAAGATGAACTATAAAGCTGTGCAGTTTATAAATGTGTAATTGTGCCCAGGGGAAGTGGTTTGTCCCTGTAATCCCAGCTACTCAGGAGGTAGAGATTTAGAGAAGTACAGTTCATGGCTACTGTTGGCAAAAGTTAGCAAAATCTCAAAAAATAAAGAGCAAAACCCTCAACAAATACGGCAGTATGTTGGTGTGTATTTGTAATCCCATTTTTGTGGGAAGCATAAGTAGGAGGATCACAGTCTGGGACCAGTTTTAGGTGAAATTTCAGTATCCTATGTGAAAAACAACTAAAGCAAAAAAAGTCTGGGGATCAGAATCAAGTGTAGAGTGTCTGCTTGGCAAGCACACAGTCCTGAGTTCAGACTCCAGTGCCACCAAAATAAATAAGAATATGTTGAGCGGGGCACCGGTGGCTCACGCCTGTAATCCTAGCTACTCAGGAGGCTGAGATCTGAGGATCGCGGTTCAAAGCCAGCCTGGGCAGGAAAGTCTATGAGACTCTTACCTCCAATAAACCACTAGAAAACCGGAAGTGGCACTGTGGCTTAAGCGGTAGAGCGTTCCCCTTGAGCTGAAGAGCGCAAGGACAACGTCCAAGCCCAGAGTTCAAGCCCCACGACCAACCAAAAAAAAAAAAGTGTGTGATACCAAAAGCAAAACATATATAAAACAAGTTTGTTCACATCTAACTAGGCATGATGGTTCACACACCTGTAATCTTAGCAGTTGGTAGGCTGAGGTAGGGAAACCTGAGTTCAAGGCCAATGTAGCTACTTTGTTTCAAATGCAATTTGCATTCAGATAAAATTGAAGGTATGTAGTATGTAAGGAGAAAAGTCTAGTTGACAGATAAGTACTTCATTGCATAAAGACATTTTGAAAGTTAATAAAGACTGCTAGTAAGAACCAGGCAAAGATATGGGAATAGTTTAAAAGAGAAGACATGTTTAACGAATGCTTAACTACTGTGGATGTTTTTTTATTTCAATAGTAGGTGAAAAAATTCAAAAGCTGAGCTGCTGAGGAGACTGAGATCTGAGGATCATGTTTCAACATCAGCATAGGCAGGAAAATCCATGAAGTTCTTATCTCCAGTTAACCACCAAAAATAGAAGTGGAACTGTGACTCAAGTCAAAGAGTGTTAGCCTTGAGTGGAAAAAGCTAAAGGATGGTACTTAGGCCCTGAGTTACCACCCCCCCCCCCCCCACAAATAAAAATGAAACACCATCTCTTAACCAACATAATGATTAAAATAACAAACAGGGGCTACAGATGTGCCAGACAGTTCTTAATATATTACTTAACTAATTCTCCCAGTGATTGTGTAGGTGTATATGTTTATTTGACAAGTGAATATACTGAGACTCATAAAGACATATAATGGCATATGCCCTTTATTGGCTTATATTACCTCTCAGATTTTAATAAATAATAGCTAGTGCTAATAAGGAGATTTGTGAGCAGATTAGAATATAAATTGATGGGCAACACCTAAATAATGTGTTTACAAACCATAAGGATGTTTTTTTGTTTTTTGTTTTGTTGGCTGTGGGGCTTGAACTCTGGGCCTGGGCGCTGTCCCTCAGCTCTTCAGCTCAAGGCGAGCGCTCTACCACTTGAGCCACAGTGCCACTTCCAATTTTCTGAGTGGTTTATTGGAGATAAGAGTCTCCCGAGCTTTCTGCCCTAGCTGGCTTTGAACAGTGATCCTCAGATCTCAGCCTCCTGAGTAGCTAGGATTACAGGCGTGAACCACCAACACCTGGCCCTTAAGGAAATTTTTTTTGGGGGAAGGTCCAGTTGTGGGGCCTGAACTCTGGGCCTGGGCGCTGTCCCTCAGCTCTTCAGCTCAAGGTAGTGCTCTACCACTTGAGCCACAGCGCCAATTCCGGCTTTTTTCTTTTTGCTTATATGGTGCTGAGGAATCGAACCCAGGGCCTCAGGCATGCAAGGCAAGCACTCTACCACTGAGCCACTTTGCCAGCCCCTTAAGGAAATTTTTGCAGTAAGTACATTAAAATATAGATACAGACATTTTACCTGAAGTTGCTTTATAATAGCAAAGCAATAGCATCAGTAACTTGCAGCATTTTAACAAGCTTGCATTCTTATCAGAGACAATAAAATACTGTTAATAATTAATTCATGTAGGGAAAAGTTTGTCCTTCTCTGCATGTACCTAAGCATATATAATATTTGGTGTTCTACACTGCTGGAGGAATATCAATACCCAATTTCAAACTCTACTATAAAGC